GAAAACCACCAATGACTGGACAGGGAGGGCCTCCAGGGACAGAGCTGTGCCACAGACCCGCCTGGCTGCCCCTTCCCCAGTCCCAGACAATGCTGCGTTTTGGTTGTTGTTTTTTTAAAAATATAATCTTGTAAATGCTCCATAAAAATAATATTATTCCTAGTCAAACACGGATACTGCGGTATGAGGAGGCAGCGTCTGCTTTCACTATAAAAGGTGAAAAGATCTCACGCGGGCGCTGTAGAAAAAGCCAGGCCTTCTGGGGACCACCACCAGTACCAACGGCAGGAAGGCAGGGTGCACAGTGGGCGGGGCCTTCTATGGCAGCCCCAGTGCTCCCCAGCCTTCAGGTCCTTGTGGCTTTGAAGGATGCCACCTCCTCTCAGTTACAGGCTGCCCCACCTGGCCCCGCTCCGCTCCTTCGGTGACCCCTCATCTCCCAGAGGCTCCGCCAGGGAGCCGTCCTCGGGCGTGGAGGGGCGCGCAGCTGCACTCTTGTGGCCGGGGCCTTCAGTTCTCAGACAGAGACAGGGCTAGGGCTGCCTGGAGGGCTGCCTCCTCGTCGATGCTGTAATCCACAAAGGTGTCGTAGGAGAACTTGTGCTGGTGGAGTAGGTGCTGCAAGAAGTTGGCACTCTTGTAGCTGGGGTCCCCCCAGGGCATGGCCGAGCAGATGGGGCAGACCACGCGGTTGGGGTCACTGCGGTGGTTCTCCACACAGTGCTTCACCAGCTCCTGCTGGTCTAGGTTGCAGGCGCCGCAGTACGGGCAGGTGAAGGTGGACCTGTTGGGGATGTTGCTGGGGATGGGCTGAGAGGTGGGCACCACGGGGACGAACTTGGGGCAGTTGGCCATCTGCTCTTGGACCTTCACGCAGGATGAGGCATGGACTCGCATCTTTGCCAGAGCCACCTAGGGCAGGGGCAGAGGAGGTGGGCCTGAGAGCCAGGGGAGGGGAGCGGCTCTCCCAGACTGCAGGTGGGGCACCTGAGTGACCTGGGGGCTGTCCTTTTGTGCCAGCAGGGGGTGGGCTGAGGCTGTGGTACAGTAGAGGGATCCTCCCATGCCTTCACAACAAAGGACAAAGCACCAGCAGCCTCTAGTGCCCTCAACTGGGGGTGTGGCCACACTACCCTGAGAGCCCAGAGTTAATGCCTAGTATCAGCTGGTCCTGGACAGAGGGGCCAACTGGAGCTACGAGGCCGGAGGACACCAGAGGCCACAGGTCAATGGCAGAGGCCTGGTGAGTGGGATGCATAGAGCAGCAGCTCCACACTCAGGCACCCCGTGGGTGGGTGGGGGCCTGCAGGGACCATGACATGATGTGGGGGACCCTCCAGGGACTGGTGGGCACAGGTCATCAGGCAGCCAGCAGGTCCTGTACCCCTCCCTCAGCCCTAGCACACCCTTCCTGTGAGAGGGATGGGTACACATGCAAAAGCAGAGCCCACCAGCTGCCCGCCAGCAGGCTGAGCAGCCAGGCATGGTAGGTGCCACAGGGGGTACCTTCTTGTTGCAGCCACGGCAGGGAGCTTTGTAGGACGAGAGCTGCTTCTCCACATGGGTGGCCTTGTCCACTTTCTTGGGATCGAAGGGTAGGCGGCAGAGCGGGCAGAGGGGGGACGGTACCTGGAGGCAGGGCTGGAGGCACTCCCCACAGAACCTGGGGGTGGGGCGCACAGGCCTGAGTGACTGCTACAAGTGGCCTCTCTTGGCCTTAGATCATGGCCTGTCTGGGGCATCTGCCCGGGGTGTCCAGGCCTGGGCACCGGAGCTCTCCCCACCATCCCCAGCGGGCAGGCAAGGCTGTAAAAAGACCCACCAAACCAAGGAACTATATGTGACCTCCTCCCTGGGGGACGGACAACAGAAAAGTGGATGAGGCAAGATACGTCGGAAAGGGCAAGATATGACAAAATAATAATTTATAAATTATCAAGGGCTCATAAGGGAAGGGGCAGTGGGGAGGGAGGGGGGAAATGAGGACCTAATGCCGGGGGCTTAAGTGGAGAGGAAATGTTTTGAGAAAGATGAGGGCAATGAATGTACAAATGTGCTTTACACAATTGATGTATGTATGGACTGTGATAAGAGTTGTATGAGCCCCTAATAAAACGATTAAGAAAACAACAACCCACCAAACCAATCTCCTTGCCATCGAGTTGAGGCCAACTCATAGGGACCCTGTAGGACTGAGGAGAACTGCCCCTGTGGGTTTGTGAGACTGTTTACTGGAGTAGCAAGCCCAGTAGTTCCCCCATGGAGCTGCTGGTGGTTTTGAACTGCTGATTTCTTCACACGACCCAATGCATAACCACACCTCCAAATCAACTTTGCAGAGAGCAAACACTTGGGGGGTGGGGGGAGGGCGGTGGGGAACTCAGGCAGATATAAAGAAGGCATCTGTGGGAAGCGTGGGCACCTGTAACTTCCTGTGCTCCTGCAGGTAGGCGCCCCCAAGCAAAAGGCAGGGGGGCAAGCCCAGACAGCAGCCAGCTGGAGGAGCTCCAGGTGAGGCGTGTGCTGGGCTGAGCTACTCAAATCTCAACTGCAAGGAAGGCACTTCTGAGAATGAGGAAGAGGGGTGCTGAGTTGCACAGGAGGCCATCGCCCCGCAATGCACAGGGGTTCCTCTAGATGAGCCACCCCCCAAAGCCCACGCAGGCAGCATGGGTGCCCAAACTAAGTCCCCAGCAGCCTGGCCTCGCCCTCAACGCCTACTAGTGGAAGGACAGCTCTCCTGGAGACGCCTACTCACCAGCGTTTACAAGAAACCAATTCTGCTCCAAGGGGATCCAAGCCACCCAGTCACTAGCCTTCTGAGAGCTAGGGAGCAGCCCCCTGCGCTAGATTAGCCTGCTCACGCGTTCCCAGAGCGGGCAGGCCTGCTCTGGACCCTGACCCTGACTCGCTCTCTTTCAGGGCCCGCAGTCTCCGAAGTCACCTGCCTTTGTTTGCAAAATCTTTCAGGACCTCCTTCCTACCTGGCCGGTCCCCCTTCTTGGGGCGGAAGTCCTGCCCCCTCAACCGGCGGCCCACAGCCCCAGACTGGGGCTCTATCCCCTCCGCGTTTCCCGCTTCCCTAATTAACAACGTCGGTCAGGCACACAGCTACCCTATATGGCAGTGTAGAACTGTCCTTTTAGGGCTTCTGAGACTACGTGTTTACGGAGGCAGACAGCGTCATCTTTCTCTCGCGGAGCAGCTGGTGGGCTGGAATCGATGACGTTCCGGCTAGTTTAGCCGCTCAGTGAGTAACAGCTGAGCTATTCCGCCGTTGGGAGAGGCCCAGAGCAGGCCCGCAAACCGCAGCAAAATGCCTGGCTCTGGTCCCCTGCGGGCCAGCCTGCCCAGTGTGCCCCATTCTTCTTCGAAACAATTCCAAACAAAACAGCGCTCAACTCCAAACAAGCCCTTCCCGAGCTTTGGGGCGCTCCGCTCCGAGGAGCGAGACGAATGGGCGGTGGGCCTGGACGCGAGGCGGCTGCCAAGCCGCCGTCGTGTACCACCGCGGCCGGCGCCCAGCATCTATCCACAGTGGCGTCGGGGAGGGCGGGCGGCTGGCTGCCTGCGGGCAGGGTGCGCCGCGCAGGAGCCCGAGCCCGAGCCCGGGCCCCGCTGCCCGCCAGGCCGGGCGCACTCACGTGTGGCCGCAGCTGCCGATGGCCACGGGCCGGTGGTAGACCTCCAGGCAGATGGGGCAGCTGAACTGCGCCTCCAGGCCGTTGTCGCCGCCCGCGGGCCCAGCCGCCGGCTGCCGCTGGTGAGCCGAGGCCACCAGGCTGCGGAACATCGCCATCCCGGGGGCCAGGCCCGCCGCCCGCGCCGCCGCCCGCCCCCCGTCCCGGCCCGGCCCGGCCCGACCGGAAATGATTTATTTTAAAAACTCAAAATATGATAGAATTTAGACTGACATAAAAGAAACCTTCAAATCAAAAACATGTGCGTATTTAATCTCTCACTGAGGAAGTTAAGGAGCTTTATGATAGTTTAAATGTTAATTC